TTTCTGTCGGCACTATTAAGAACACAGAAAAAACACCACAAAACTGCATCTCAGACTCCAGCGATAATTAAGAGACATTAGCGCATATGGCTTGGCGCCAGTTGTGTTCTTAGACATGGCGTCGACAAAGTTTTTCAAGTTTTTCCCGCAGACAAAAAGCAGATGCGAAGCGAGTAAATCACTCTGATTAGTTTTTTGGGATTAGTTTCAGTAGACAGTTATCCGGTAAGTTAGTTTGAACAAGTATTGGTTTGTGTTTTTCGGGCACATATGAGTATTTCCGTTCGAATGCTGTTATCTGTGACAGAATTTAATCCCAGTTCCAATATTTATATGTGAAAATTACAAATATTCGGGACATGCAGTCGCCACATCCGCATCAAACCGATTTTGGCTTATATTTATATGAATTTTCGTTTCACTTTATTTGATTTTCGGGTTATTTATTGTTTTATTGTGGCCCTTTTGGATTCTTTGGGCATTAAAAATGCATAAATATTGACGGAATCTGGAGGGGCTTTGATTAACATTTAAAACTCTCTCGAATATGTGCTGAAATATGTGCGCATTTATAGAGACATTAACATTTATCAAAGCTTTTCCAGTGGGGATCCACTGCTTAACATAAATTCGCCAATTGCCGAGCAGACTGAGAGGGATGAGCACCATGGCTGGAGCGAACGACCGAACGACTGACCGACCACAGCAGCGATAAATAAAGATTAAAATTTCTGGGGAAATGTTCACAAAAGTGGCCTGGCACTTCATTTCAATTTATGCACACAAGTATTTATATGGCAACGCACACGCATTCGCACACACTCTGAAACACACACTCGCACACTGGGGTCCTTCAGTGATAAATCAAAAATCGCTGCATACTTTTTGGCGTCATAAAGAAATATTCCAAAGGTCCTCCGCCTGGTGTCTGGGGTCCTCTGCGTGCATTTATTTGCATTGTTCCCACACAATAAATGCAATTTCATGTTTCAATTGCGAATAAAAGAGAAAAAGTGGAAGGGAAAGTCAACTCGTGGAGTCTCCCCATTACAGGCAGAACAACAACAACAACAATAGGCGCCATTACTGGTAGCAAGTGAAAAATCAAAATGGCGCCCGAGCTGAAAGTAAAAACATTATGTATACGCCGAGTGGTACCGAGTATTAAAATTCACAGCGTGCCTTCCGATTTTTATGCACGCGCGTACCACCCTACCCTCCCCACCCTACCATTTGCTTCTGGACACTTTCAGTTTTTGCCGTTGTTTGAATTTTTATGGCCATTAAATCAAAGTACAAATAAAAGAAAATAAATAAAAAAATTTGTTACAACCTTAATAGAGGTGTGGCAAAAGGGAGGAGGTGGGGGCCTGCTGCCCTTTTGGTACACAAATGAAATGCTGAAATCTTGTCATAAAAATGCGAGAATTCGTAAAGTGCACTTTATGCGCTACGTTTGTGACCAGCACCCGCACCCACATCCCCGACTCCCCACTCCATGAACGGACCATGGGGCATGCCACGCAGTGGTATCCACCGGGGGGAATATTGCATCAAGAAAATGAATAATCAAGTGGGATTGATGATAAGGGTTAAGAGAGAACAGTGTGTGCGTGAGCATGAAATAACCTGTAGAGAGGTCTTGAGCAACGGATTGAAGGTTCAATATGTATAATGGGATTGGCGTACACGAAGACAAGCTCAAAAATTAAAGGAAGTTCATCCATGTTCCTGAAGCTTATGGGTTGCTTTAAATTATAGTTATTTATTCCAGGTATCCAGCACTGGCAGCTTAATCTGTTTATCTTTCATCTTTTATATAATTCAAAATTTAACATTGCTAATTACATCATTATGCATTTGCCTCTGTGACATGTTACGGCTGTTAATTTTCCCTTTAATTATGCTTTAATATTTAGACCATTACACACATATTACACACACACACACACACACACATATGTACATCCAGTCTCTATCAACCAAATATTTAGCATAATTGTTGGCTAGAAATTCCAGCCGAAGCCCTTGGACAGAGAGTTGCGGAAAATGTGGGGCGGAAAAGCTGGCTCTGGCCGCAGTGGCGACACTTGAAAACCAACCAAAAATAATTTCCTGGTAATACGCATAAAATTGTCGTATATTTACATAATGTGCACATATTTTCCGGGGGAAAATATTTCAGTTGCAGCAGCAGCATGCGCTTGCACACTCGCTCGCTCGCTAGCTCTCTCGCTCTGCTGCATTAATTGGTTTTTCGTTAAAATATTTTCTGGCCAACAAGGGTCGGTCTGCCGTTGGGGTTAGGAGCCCAAGACCAAACCCAAAGCCGAGTCCCTGAGTGGCAGAGGTGTTGAAAACTATGCAATTTTATATGCAAATGCAAATTTAATGAGCTTTAACCCAACGCTGAGGCTGCGACTCTGCCATGTGTGTGTGTGCATTGGGGCATGTACTAGTGCCTGTGAGGGTGTTAATTTTTGCTTTTCAGTTTAACTTTTTTGGTTAATTTTTAATTTTAATTGCAGTCGCTTGTTTAAAGTTTTATCTCATTTATTTTATTTATTTTCTGTTGCTTTTGCCGTATTTTGCATAATTATGCATTGGCCATCGCCCGACTGTCAACATGGCATGTGCCATGGCGTTTTTCCAAACAAACATTTTATTATTTATTTGACAAATACTCGTACATAGGACGCTGGAGGTCAATGCTCCATGTGGTTTTTGGTTTTATTGACAAGGAAGGCAGTGGGATGGGAGTGGAATTCTCCTATTTAATACGCGGTATGCCAAATGATGTTTGGGTATGCGTTGATCACAAACATGACAGCCAGCAAAAAGAGTTGTCTGATCTTTCTGATTCTAAGCTTTTAAGTTACTTAAATTTGTACATTTAAAAAGAGAATTCTATATAGAGTACATAGCCCTTCCGCCTGAGTAATAGGTAGCACTTAGTCTATGCTCTCCACATTTAGCTTTGTTTTTTTTTCAGACGTTTTTGGGGTTGACGTGGCATCAATTAAACTAATTGTGCATTTAAATTGGCAAATTATTGGCTCGTTCTTTAATCATAAATTATTTATTTATGCAATCAATTTGCATAAAGTCAAATAAACCGATGAACACTGTTATTTCTCTGTTGTTGGTTGTCTATGGGTCAATGCCAGTTTCCGGGGCTCACAGGCTCCCAGTGCCAGGCAGCACTTTCAGTGCCATTTCCAAATGCAATTTAAATATTGCATAGGGTTTTGCCTTTGCTTATTCTTGTGGGTGGCATTTGGAGTATAGAGCCCGAAATGCTTTCATTTTAATTTGCGGTTAGGCTGACCTCAGTTGGAGGGGTTGCCAGGGTTATCCGGGATCGGTCGGGGTCACCGGTTACCGGTTTGGCGGCGTCACTGGTCACTGCCAAAACCAATTAAGTGGGCTCTGCAGCTTGGCAAACGGGAGCCACATACGAGTATGGAGTACGGTTCTGGGAGCGCGTCCAATTGAAAACCATTTCAGAACGTTTAAGCGTTTTTTCGGCTTCTGTTTTTTGGGTTTTCTGTTTTTTCATTGCCGCCGCTGCTAACTTTGTGCAAAATTTAATTAAATTCTTTAGCTCTTTGAGCCGCAGGGATGCTGTGATGCTGGGTTGTACTCTTAGTGCATAATTTGTCTGGTAGTGGATTGCAGCAGTTGCATGCAACAAAACGCACAAAAAAAGGCACAAAGATAGATACATTCATGCATACATGTATTGCCAGAGTGTTGCATACAGCTTGGGGCATAGCAGTCACTCGTATGGGTGTGTGTGTGTGTGTGTGTGTGTGCCTGACTGCACCACAGAAGTATATTAATAGTTGCTGCGGCGCCACCACCACCATCACTACAATAAAGCCTTTTCAGCCATTTTTTTAGTGCCACTTTTTGTGGCATTTGTTTTAGACGCCCATAAAAGTGCCGCCAGAAAATATTTAAAAAGTGTTTTTCCTTATGCAACAGCCACGACAAAGTGTTTGTGGCATATACTGGTAGTGTGCTTGCTCCCTTTTCCATGCCCCTACTGTTGACATTTTTGAACGACATAAAAAAAGAGTGCCTGTCACAATGCATTTTCGCATTTTGCATCCGCAAAGAGAGCAAACCGAGGTGGTGCCAGCAGAAGTGGCAATAAAACAATGAAAACCAGAAAAAGGCAAGGGCTTCTGGAGTGCGATACCCTGGAATATGCAACTATCTGATGGCATTTAGGTGCAAAAGTTATCTATTGCAGGAAGTTAGCACTTGCTAGACTTTCATAAAAGTAAACAAGTTTTGCTCTATGAAAGACTGACATCGATTGACCTCAAGGAACCGATTGTTCATCATGTTTTGGATGTTCTCGATGATGATTAAATAATAGTTAACATGCAAAAGCTCCCATATCTGCATGTCAAAATCAAAACATGCCAACATGAAAGGTATATCAAATTCGAAATGTGTGTGTGGCTGACAGTGAGTGATAAAAGTTATGAACTCTTTGGGAAACTCGCTAAAAAAGTGTACAAGCGTTAGAAGCGTTATGTGTGTACGAGTGTGCATCCTGTTGCCATACATTTTCCTCGTGTCATATTCTTTTAGGAGAGCGAGCGCGTTGCACATTTATGAAAAATAATTGCGGTTTCCATTTCTGTCGTTCTTTTTTTCCCATTTCCTGGGCCCTTTGCGACCCTTACAACTACTCGCCGCTAAAACATATTTATTTAATGCAATTTATTTATGTTTTCCCCATTTCTTCCTTGTACAATTAAACAGACAGTCGCAGAAAAATGCAAACATACAAAAAAAAAGAAAACATATCAAATTAAATGAAAGCTCAGAACTGAATTTCGTGTAATATTTAATACGTAATGATATATAAATAATTGGATGCCAAATGCATTTTATGTAACTGCCTCTCGTTTGTTGAATAAATTATAATTTTTAATGAATATTTATAAGCAGAGAGCGCCGTCATAATATTTATTTTCACTTACCTTTCGCCTGTCGCGCCTCTGCTGCTGCTTAATGGAAAGAATAACTAGAATCCTTGAATCCTTTTTTTCCTGCTGCCTTGCTTCTGCAATGTTCCGCTTTCTTCTACTGACGTTGCAGCTTTTTGTACATTTTTAATGTATTTTTAAGTAATTTACTGCAACAAAAAAGCGTGAAAAATATGCAAATTAGTTGATGGTGCCACAAAACAAGAGTCGGGAGGGGAGTGTGCGGGTGTGGGGGTGTGGGGCATAGCTGATTAGCATTTCAAATGAGTGTCGGAGGCCGGGGCGTGGCATAGACGGCCCGGTCCGTGCCATTTCTTCAGCGACTTTTCAACTTTTTAGCCAGACAAGTGCCTGTGTGCACATGAGAGAGTGTGTGTGTGAGTGTGGGTGGTTGGCTGGTTGTGCTGTCATTATGACACTAATTATGTCATACATATGCAAAAGTAGCAAACAACCCATGTCGGTCGGTCTGTCTGGCTGTCTGTCCCGACTGTTTCCCTGCGGTGGGTGCCGCTGCTGCTGGTGCTGGTGGTGCCTCAAGTGGTGTATACATGACACGTGTGTGTAAGCCACTTAAAATTTAACGCATACCTAATGCCTATTCATGAGTCCTGCTCCACCCTTTGCCATGCCTGCACCAAAGGGGCGTGCACGCTTAATTTAATTAAGCTCCGCTGTTACTCGTACTTAGAATTTGCAATGCAAGCCATCACCATCACCATCACAGACATCACCGCAAAACAATTTGCAAGTCAAGTGCGACGACTGACTGTAAGTGTTGCAAATGGAGATGTGCATTTCAGAACAGTGCTGGATAACTGCAGGCCGTGCCAGCATCAATGGCACAAAAGGCACGAGAAGAGGAAAAAACGTTCATCTCTGGCCTGAAAACATCCGACGTGACGCTTGAGATGAGCCAGCGATGGATGGCAGGATGGGAAAACTATGCCCCCCCACTTGTGTCCACATACATATTCAAATGCTAGAAATATAACTTTATTCAATTTTCTGCTACTGTTGAGGATTTCGAAACAATCGAATCAAACAAGAAAACAATTCAGTGGAGAGACAGACAATCTGCTTTTATTGCAAAACTGTTTCTATTTATTCAAGAAAACAATTAAGAACAAAGCCCCACATAGCAAATAAATAACAAATTCAGTTTTGAGGATGCCGCTAGTCTGAAGATCTCTTGGGGGTCAATAGAGGACATGGCAGGACCAGAAGCAGAACCAAGACCCTGGGTTAGGTAAAGTCTTGTAATTTGATTACAAAAATGTAAAAAGGGCAAAATAAACTTTGGCTAAATTTACATATTTGAATATATTTTTCGGGCCTAGTCATAAATAAGCCAAGCATCTTTTTGTATCTGTGTATCTTTTGTATTTGTTTTTGCTTATTTTATATGCATGTCCAGCTCTTTCCTCACTAAATTCATCAGTCTCTCGTCTGAGGGTTCTCTGCCCTGCCTGTATGTCTGACCGTTGTGTGTATTCCCATATTTCTTTGAAAGTCCAAGTCCAAGTCCACTACCGAAAAATGTCTAATTGCTGGTCGGACGCATATGCAAATTGCCAGTTATCTAAACTCTGAACAACTCTTCAGGAATTCGTAATCAAATTGCTGCTTTGTATTTGTCAGTGGCAATGTACTGGGGGCACATGATTGAATGAATAAAACAAATTTGTTATACTATATTCATATTCTGACGTGGATGGATGTGAGGTCTGTTTTTGACATTGATTTCTCTCTGTTAAACAATCTCTTATTGCATGTTAAATAGAGATTATCTTTTGGCATTCGTAATGAAGCAATTTCACCACCTTTTCTCATGCCATTTCTCTGCAGAATCGACTTTGAAGTCTTCATTTTCTAAGCTAGTTATCTGCATGCTGCTCTTCTCTTGAATGTTCAGATACCTTTAGAATGTTTAGGAACTTCTGCCTTTTTCTGTTCCTCTATTAATTTCCAATGGGTATCTGTTCTCTTTCTCTCCATAAAATATCTTTAGATTCTTCACATTGCATAGCTCATGTACTGCAGCCAATCATCTACCCTCCAGGCCTTCATGTTTTCCCCTCCCTTTTCTCTTTGCATATGCTGAGAGTTTCCTCAATTAACCTTCTCTTCGGACAACACTTTTCTGTCCATCTTCCATATGCTGGGTGGCGTATCTCTACAGCTCTAGAATGTTTGTGGAATCATGTGAATGTTCTGGCCGGCCAACTATCTGCAACTTTACCTCTTTCATCTATAGATGGAATATCTTTTGAAACATTTAAGTTCCTTCATATTCAGGCAGTTAATCTGCTATGAGCTGGAAGTACGCCTCTCGCTCTTTCTGCTTTCTGGCTATGTATATGTAAGTTTGTATGTATAGTGTATATGGAAATATCTGCTAATTTGCATAGGCCAAAAACCGCAATCCCTTGTTGCTGTTGTTGCTGTCTTTCTTGCCACATTATGTGTGTTGCCTGCATTCGTATTCAGCCAAGCATGCGGTAACATGCATTCAGCTCAAACAACTCCCTCTCCTTCTCACTGTCAGTCGGTCTGTCGGTCTGTGTGTCTGCCTGTCTGTCAGCTCTGTCTGGTTGCATTTTCATATTGAAAATCACTGAAGTGGCAGACCAGTTACGTCTCCGCCTCTCTCTCACTCTCACACTCTCTCTCCCCTGCCTGTGACTCTCTTTTATGACTTTTGTGTGGCAGTTTTTGTTCTACTCGTATGCTAAAAAAAAAGAGAAGACCCTACCGAGTGAAGCGCATTTTAATTTTAATAGACATGGGGGCCGCCCTGTTGAGCATAATGAGCGCTGCGCTTAGGGCTCCTTTCAATGCATGGCAAGGCAGCTTTCAATGGATGTTAATAAAAGTATGGCAAGCATAATTTTTATTGCCTGCCACAGTGCCACTCACCCCACAACACTCCCATCCTATCGCCATGCAGTACACCAACATTCTATCTTCGCTTTTTGTTTAATAATGAAATGTGCAAATGTGTTTTTCAGATGCATCCTTCATCCTCATTCTCGAGCGGCGGCACACCATAGAGCACTGCATCTGTGTGTGCTTGTATCTTATGGATGCACGCGCCCTGCATTTTTTTTACATAATTACATTGCAGCTCCCCTGCAGGCATCTCATTTGGCTTTTGTTTTGCGTTTTTTTTAAGCTTTTTTCTGTTTAGTTGCTAATTTATTTGTATATGTATTTGGGTCTGTCTCTCCCTCTCTCCCCTCTCTCTCTCTCTCTCTCTGCATGGGTTTTCATTCATGCAACATACAGCTTCTGTTCCACTCCACTGTGCCCCATACTCTGTCTTTATTCCGGCTCCCACTTAGCTTGACTCTACCCCATCTCTATGCTCATTTCTTTTGTATGAGTTATTTCAGCAATTTCTGCTTTTGTTCCACACATTAGAATGTATCTGGCGGATATGTTTGCCAGCAGTCTTTGTTCGCTTTCAAATTGTAATTACTTCAATTGAAAAAAAACCTCTTTTAGTTGGAGTTTTTTTGTATGTGTATCTTTTACACCATTTTACACATGTTTCATGGGCATATGTACATACATAATTTGCGCTTCGGTGCGCCTTGGCCTGGTCGAAAACAAAGCCTTTTAACTGTTGCAACAGCAGCAGATTCATTTCACAGTATGCCCTGCTTTGGTTTCCAGTCGGCACTGTTCGTGCGGCACTTTCTGCGGCTTCTTCTCTACTCTTCTCCACTCTCCACACTTTTCTCATCTCATCTCGTCTTATTCCTCTTCCTCTCTGCTCATTAGAGCCATAGTTCTTTGTGGCTGGTGCTGCCTTTTACCGTTTGTTGCGGCTTCGATTTCCCATTATATTAAAGGTAAAAGAAAACTAGTTCTTGTTCTGCTTTTCCTTTTCTCCAACCCTCCCTCGCCTTTTGGTTTTCTTTTCTAATCAAGTTGCCACACGGCCACTGCCGCTGCCACTGCCACTGCCACTCTGCCACACACACAGCAAGCGCATTGAACAAGAAAAAGTTGATTTATGCATTGTTCCTGGTGCTTCATTCTTCGTGTTGGCGGTTCTAGTGGTTCCAGTGGTTCTAGTGGCTCTTTAGTGGCTCTATGGTGGCTCGGGCTGGCTCTGGCTGCCTCTGTTGGCTGCATCGTGTTAATTACCTTTGTGTGGTGTAGGAAGTCAACTACCCGCCAGGTCTGCCAAGCCCTGACTGCCTGCCTGCCTGCCTGCCTGCCTGCCTTTCAGGAAGTTGAGTCGCACGCATTAACCGCAACAAAGTTCCCTGGTAAGTCGTCGGAAGAATTTCTCAGACTTCGCATAAATCATTTTTTATTAGTATTAACACACGATGAGCCCGAGGCTCGGATTTCGCATCGCCTGCCACCGAAAATACTTTATTCGCTTTGCATGTTCCCGGGCCTTAATTGAAATATATGACTGACCCCAAAAAATGTACATTCCAGTTGGCTTTTGGCCATTTCTCAGTGCCACGGCACGCAAAAGGATCATATTCGTGTGCAAAATACAAGGAAATCAGTGAAACGAGTACGGGTGTATCCATATGTTGAAGTCTCGTATCTCGCAAGTAAATTTCACTTGACCTTTTGACTTATTCATAGCAAAAAAAAATGAAAGCTAAAATGTAAGTCAAGTTCTTTCTTTATTAAACCTTGAAATGATTTTTTGGCCCACTACCACACATAAAAATACCCAAGAATAAAGTAAAAGGAAATTAAGAAAACGTAGGCCGTATGTGGAGATACTCTTGCATAAATATATCCGAGACGTTTTATTCGATTATCTTCCAAAATGAATGCAGTTTTCTATCAAAATTATGTTGTACCAAGTCTTGTTTTATTGTCTGCATGCATATCATTAATTCTTTGATCACAAATGCTTCCTTTTGTCATTTCCCAACTTTTGTGACTTATGCCCTTCATCTTCTTCTTATACCCTTTGGAAGGATACCAAAAGGAATACTTGTAACTTTTGCCTGTCTTCATCTCTGTTCTCTTTTCCATTTTCCATTTTCCATTTGCCATTTTGTTTTTGGCAATCAACAAAAAGTTGAACGCTGACTCTGGCATATAAATATTTGCCTGGCTTGGGGTGGGGGGAGAGAGAGAGAGAGAGAGAGTCCTGACAAGGAAGTTC